AGTGATGTGAAAAATGGTATTGAAAGCAATCTGGGTGAAAAATATAGTGCTGTTGTTCCCACTTCGGTGCCAAGATTGAAAATAGTGGGCATGAGCGATCAGTTTTCCTCCGATGTCTTTATTGACTACTTAAAAAGTCAAAATGAAGACATCGCTATTAATGATGTGAAAGTAGTGAACATGTTTGAAAATCCACGCTTCACTTATAACAAGTTTAGTGTTGTAATTGAAGTCGATGTCGATACTTATAAATGTTTGTTATGTGCGAAAAAAGTAAATGTAGGGTTTGATCGGTGCTCGATAGTTCCCGCGATTAATGTGTTGAGATGCTTCAAATGTGGAGAATTTGGGCACAGGAGCATGGATTGCAAAAATTGTGATAGATGCTCTAGGTGCAGCCAACAACACAAAACGTCGGAGTGTACGTCAACTGTATTGAAATGTATTAATTGTTTGAAAACGAATAAAGAACGAAAAATGAACTTGGACGTCAACCATGCCGCATTTAGCTCGGAATGTTTGCTTTATAAAAGCCTTTTTGATCAGAAGAAAAGCAGCTTGCGTTTCAATAAATAGCAGCCAAGTTCCAGGAATGTGAATCAATTTGATTTTTTATATTTGAATATTGCGGGGTTGTCAACAAACTACGTAGCATTACGTCAGATTGTTGAGGAAAAACGTCCTCTTTTAGTTTTATTATCTGAAACTCATATTGTAGAAACTGAAGCTTTTGATCAGTATAGTATTCCGGGATATATTGTTGCTGCTTGTTTATCACATTCTAGACACACTGGCGGTGTTGCTATTTATGTCAAAGAATCAGTTCAATTCAACCTTCGTACCAACGAAGTTATTGATGGCAACTGGTTCTTGGGCATTACAGTTGTACGTGGCATGAAGATGGGTAATTATGGTGTTTTGTATCATTCTCCCAGTTCTAGTGACCAGCGTTTTGTTGACGTTTTAGAGAGCTGGCTCGAGACATTCCTTGATTCTAGTAAATTAAATATATTGGCTGGTGATTTTAATATTAATTGGCGTGATAGCCATAATTCGAATCATTTGAAGCGTTTAGCTGAGTTTTTTAATTTGAAGCAAACGGTAAATGAATATACGCGTATTTCCAGGCACAGTAGAACTTTAATTGACCACGTTTATTCCAATTTTGATTCCATTTGTTCAGTTACGGATACTGATTTGAAAATAACCGATCATGAGACTTTAGTGATTAATGTCTTAGACCATGTTAACGATAACGATAATTTTGTAAAATTGAAGTGCTGGAGGAAATATTCCAAGCAAGCTGTTTCAAATCTTGTTGAGAGAAGCCTGGATTTTCCATTCGCGGCCGGTAACTTAGATGAATCTACAGCTGTTCTTAATAACGCTTTGAAAACGTGTACCAATCAACTAGTTGAGCAAAAGTTTGTTTCTTTGAAAAACTCGAACAGCTGGTACAATTTGGATCTTTTGCGTCTTAAACGGAAAAGGGACAAATGGTACAAAAAGTTTTGTAGATCTTATAATGACAATCATTGGACTAGGTACACAATCGCGCGTAATAAGTATTCACAATCGATAAAGAAAACTCGTTGTGAATATGTTCAAAGGAAGATTGATCAGCATCAAAACAACAGCAAAGAGTTATGGAAAATTTTGCAATCTTTATTAAAACCTAGTAATTGCAAACCGCGGTCCATAACTTTTAATGGCACATTAGAACAGTCAGAACAAGTAATTGCAGCTAAGTTTAATGATTATTTCGTAGATAGCGTTTCATTGATTAATCAATCTATTGAATTGGTCGATGAACCTGACGAAATAAAACAGCCAGTTAATAGTAGTTGTAGATTTGAAGTTTTTCACCCAATCACATTAGATGAACTTAGAGTTATTTGTTTTTTATTAGGAAAATCGGCTGGAGTAGATAATGTTAATGCTAGAGTTATTCAAGATTGCTTTCATGTCATTGGCCACATCTTTCTGGACCTTATTAATGAATCATTGCCGAATGGACATGTGCCACAAATTTGGAAGGAATCCTTAGTGATTCCTATTCAAAAAGTTGCTGGAACGATTAAAGCCGAAGAGTTTCGTCCCATCAACATGTTGCACACATTAGAAAACATCTTAGAACTTGTTGTTAAAGGCCAGCTGTTGGAGTATTTGAATAGCAACTCTTTGTTGATACCAGAACAATCGGGATATCGGGAAGGTCATTCTTGTGAAACTGCATTGAATTTGGTGTTAGCAAAGTGGAAAGACAACTTGGAGCGTAAAGATACGATTGTTGCTGTTTTTTTGGATCTGAAACGCGCTTTTGAAACAATTTCTAGGCCCTTACTGTTAAGTACAATCAAGCGCTTTGGAATTACGAGTACTGCATATAAATGGTTTGAAAGCTATTTGTCTGACAGAACTCAACGGACTGTTTTTAATGATTTTGTTTCCAGTCCCGTGTGGAACAACCTTGGAGTGCCCCAGGGAAGTGTATTAGGGCCCCTTTTATTTATTATGTATATTAATGACTTGCGACGTGTTTTACGGTTTTGCGACATTAACCTTTTTGCAGATGATACTGTGTTATTCATTGCAGCTAAGGATTTAGAAGTTGCCGTCTCACACTTGAATGAAGATTTGCAGTATCTAAGTAGATGGTTGAAGTGTAAGCAGTTAAAATTGAATACAAGTAAAACTAAATTTATGGTAATTTCGCGGAATCGAGTAAATGAGAACGTCTCTGTTGTAATTGATGATGAGACTATCGATCGCGTTCGCGAGATTAAATATCTTGGCGTGATTATTGATGACACACTTAAGTTCAACTCTCACATTGACAATGCCATCAAGAAAATTGTCAAGAAGTATGGAATTCTATGTCGACTGAAAAACGATTTAACTATTGCCAGTAAAATACAGCTATACAAATCAATCATCTCTCCTCATCTTGACTTTTGCCCTTCCATTTTATTTCTGGCCAATGCAACACAAATATCGAGATTACAGCGCTTGCAGAGTAAAATAATGCGTTTGATTTTGAGATGTAGTAGATTCACTTCCTCAACTTTGATGTTAGACGCCTTACAATGGTTGTCGGTGAAGCAAAGAATTGTATATTTGACTATGGTGTTCATTTTTAAAGTAGTTAACGGTTTGCTGCCTCGATATTTGTGTGATCGAATTGAAAGAGGAAGTGACTATCATAGATATAATACTAGAAACGCGGATGAAATAAGAACACCACATTTCTTGACTTGTGCTTCACAGAATTCATTATTTTTTAAAGGAATAAATGTTTTCAATTCGATGCCTAGACACATTAAACGTTCAACAACATCAGCAGAATTTAAGAGACATTGCATTTCACACGTTAAAACTGTCTTTTGAACGGTTATCCAGTGATTTTTTTTATGAATTGACAAATTATGTATCTTGACGAAGTTATTTTTAACGGATTATTTTGTATGGATAGCTGTTATAACGACTTTTTAATAATTATTGTAGCACTGCAAAAACTATTTTGTTCGCCACGATGGTGATGATGGATTTTTGATATTTGATTTAATAGTAGTAGTAAAAAAAATAGTAGTCTACAAAGGTTTGAGCCTCGCGCGCGTTTTACGGATATAGAGGACTGAATTTAACATTCGATAAAAAAAAAAATGCAATTTTGAAGCTTATTTGGAAGATACCTTGAGTTAGTAGTAAGTTTTCTGGCAAATGTTGGGGGTTCGTGAGCATTCCTGACATTGCTGAAAATTATGATAGCATCAGATTGCGGGGTTACTTGTGTTATAGGATGCTTTGTTGATTGTTCATTAACTCTTGATTGCTTGTAATACTTATGAATATTTTAGGTGGACAAAAAGGCGAACTAAGAGGTGGACGCCTGAGCTTTTCAACATTTATATCGCTGTGAAGCAACTGTAAACTCTAGAGGGAATTTATATCTGTAACTGAAACCAGTTCGATTTTGTTTGCCAACCTGGTTAAAATGTCATATTTAATTATCTTAAAGATAAATCTCCAGCTCAAACCTTTGTAGGGGTAAGAGGTGGGACCATCATCATCATCAATTCTATGCAGCCCAATTACAGACATTTCTGAAATTCACAGACATTTTTCGCAGACTTCTGAAAAACAAATCTGGCATCTCTGCTTTGAACGCAAAATGTGTTGTCTGCACATTTTTGAGAATGTGGTGGAACATTGCTGTAAATCATATATAGTAGGTTGGTGGGGGGGGGGGGGGGGGATGTGCAGCCTAAGGGAATCAAAGTATTTGTTGACTGGACGAGGGTTCATGGATTTGCCAGTCCCTTGTCACGTGATAGCAGATGGCTGTCTGGTCGTTTTGTGTTCCAAAGGTTTTCAATTAAGCTGATTCACCCTGCTAACCATCAGGCAGCACTTTACAACCGGTAAAGTAGCTGCAGACATTGGTAATCCTTGCATTGATGGTGGGTCCATTCACATCACATCATCATCACACATCACATTTGTAATGCAGATTACGAACATGCATTTACCTCAATATATCTAAAGAACCCAATTCACCAAGCTGCTATCTCTTTAAGTTTGAAATGTTAAAAGATGTACGCTAAAAGTTACGTTCTGTTCTAATATTCACATCTCATCATTATTGTTATTATTATAAATAATAAAATACATTTTTTGTGATTCAACCACAATCGTTCACCATATTCAATTAAATCTCCAAACCCGATGAAGCTCCTCCAACCATCGGGCCTCCCCTCAGCAAACAAATCTGTACAGCCATGTGAATGAAAATATCCATTTTCCAACTCACCTCACCCATCCCGATCTGTGTCCTCCTCCTCCTCCACCCTTGCACATCCCGAGAAAAGTTATGAACAAGTTGAAAACGAAATTCTCATCATCGTCAGCCAGCGACCGCCGAACGGTTCTACAGCAGTAGGTAGCCGAGCTAGTGCCAAAATTAACCTCTTCCGGTGAGGATCGCGTGCGTGCCAACTAGCGCCATTTCAGTCCAGCAGCGTCCAGTCCACCGTGTGTCGAGTGCGTGATAGATCTCCTTATCTCTGGTGAATGTGCGTGCTGCTCTATCTATAAATCTTGGCGGTTACGTTTGTTGATCGATTACCCTACGACGGAGCGATCTTGATGGATGTGTGTGCACATCCCATCGGCCAGCAGCAAGAGAACAAACATTGGTGAAAAGTGTCAGTGAGCGAAGTGCGACTGATTTGAGCTGCAGCTGCAATCCGTCCCAATGACGATGATTACGATGAAAACGAGTGACATTTGAAGTGACAGTTGCGAATTTATTGCCACCGGTGTGTGAACGCAATTTCCTGTTTGCCTCCTCCCCGGTGCGGTGATCGATAGGCTGACAGACGGGGGAGGATTGTCAAGGATGTCTCTTTAAAATAGAATTGTCACGGCAGTTAGACGTTAGATAATAATCGGCGGTGGGAGCAAACAAAACAATCGGCGTCGAACATGGGAAAACGGGAAAAACAGACGTTTGTTGATGGATTGCGTTATGCAACTGTGGCGTCGAAAGAAGGCAACCGCGCATGCGCTCCGACCGACTGACGTTGCTGCTTTGTTGATGGTTTTTGACGATGGAAAAGTGAAATTCGAAAACTCCACCATTGATCGGCGGCTTTGACATTTTTTTTTTGTTTGCTTCTTGGTGCTCCTCTGGTGGATTGGGAATGATATGCGTGGTTTGGACTTGTTGGAGAGGGTGTATTTTTTGTAGATGAAGTCTTTTCTGGTGAGAACAGGCAGAAGTCTGTTTACGGCTCTTGACGCTATTTTGGCCCACTTGCGTCATGGTCTTTTTAAGCTGGTCAATTTGAATTCGGTTTCGGTGCGGAAGGAACATGTGTTTGACCTGTTTCTTGTTTGTATCTGTATTGTAGAAGAATGTACAGCGATTAGTTTTCGGTAGCCTGTGCTTCATTTTCCCAAGCATTATGAGCAAATTTGTTAATGGAAAATTTTCACAATAATGTTGTCAGTTGGATGACGATTAGCGTTTTACGATTTAATCGAGTGGTGTAAACCGAGAGCAACGGGAAAGGAAAGAATCCAATAATTTCCAGTCACAGAATCGCACGATTTCTTTCTAATCAAGCCGTCGTACGAGAAATTGACTCAGAAAAGTATCAGAACGACCTCAAAAGTGTCGTAATTGGGTTGTTTAATTTCGAAAAGCATACCGGCTTTTATACATCATCTAAAAGAGCTTCGTTTTCTGAGCACAACGATATTTTTATCGGTCCCATAGGCCTTTTTAATGCACCACCAACGTAGAATGCGCCCCGCGAGTTCGAGAGGAAACGTGGTAACCTTTACTCAACCTCTATACAAGCAAATCTAGCGAACTTAGTCAGCTACTTATGGCTGTTGGAACGGTTGGAACAAGCTCTTATTGCATTTCCATTTACGCTTCCAAACAGCTATTATCCTGCTGTTTAGTTGTGTGCGAACTTGAAAGGCTCTTATTCAACCTTTTCCCTGTTATCCAATAACCACTACACAGCTTTCTGTTGAAGCCGGGTTAAATATCGTTTACGTTTTTTTTTGTTTTTTTTTGACGTAGGATCACGGGGTGCAATAAAAAAAACGACCGCGTTACGAAAAGTGGTTAGGTTTAGACCACTTATAACTCGGTCAATAGCGGATGGATTTTGATTCTAAGCAAACCAATCGATTGTTGATTTTTCTACAAAGCTGCTAAAATGAATACTTTATCAATTTTTAATAGGTCTCTATTGAAAACTACACAAATGTCCAACTGTTGCAATGGTGATCAAAATTAGCAACGATTGCCTGCAAAAAGTGGTTTCCCTAACATAGTCGCCAAATATTGATACCGAGCACGTAATCCTACCTCAAATCTACGGTCGAGTCTTGGCTACATCCTCTTACTTTTTGTTGGATGAATTGATTGAGAGATTGACTGTGAGAATCAAATTAATCGAAAATTAGTTATAAGCACACCACCAAATTATTTACCCTGCACCGAAACATGGAATCGAACTCAAGACACTTTGAACTGACGTACACAAATCTACATGACCTTCTACAACAAGATCGCTGAGTAGAGGCTTTATAATAGTGCACACGAATCACTTTTCTCGATTGATTACTTCAGCTTTGTAAAGGAGCAGAGTAAAAGCTGTAAACTCCACAAGTCTAAAAATAAACCAAGTCGACTGTAAAATAGCTTCCAAGGAGCGTTAGTTAGTTAATTAGCTGAGTACAGGTTGTTTAGTTTTTGAAAAAGCACTTCAGGTTGTTTGTGTAGAAGCCATCAAATGAGTAATATATTCACTTTATTAGCTTTGTTTTGCAGCTACAAGTTGAAAGTTGATTAATTGTTTATTGTTTATTGAAAAATTGAACTGAAAATTATTGTCTAAATGAATAAAACTTAAACTAAATAGTTACGGTCAATGGTACGGAAAAGGCCAAGTAACCGTTGACGAAACACGTCAGCTGATACATTGAAGTCGAACATATATAAAAAAAAGTTGTTGAATTGCCGGCTGATTGCTCGAATTGGCTCGTGTTGTGTAAAATTCCGGCTCCGTGGTTCCAAAAACAGAAAGTCGCGTTGACGAAGAGATCTCTCAGGGGCATACATATTTAGCTGTGACAGCAGTGTTGGACAGTCAATGTCACCCGTAAGCAGCTTTCCAGCGAACATAGCTTGAGCGACCGTCCGTCTCACCTCTGATAGCTCGATTCCCAGGAGACGGCAACGCTCCTCGTACGGTGGCAAGTTCGTTGGGTCACGCCAGTTGAGGAAACGAAGAGCATATCTCACAAACTTGCGTTAAACGGATTCAATTCTAGTGATCCAGCTAGCATGGAAAGGGCACCAAACAACTGAACTTGACTCCAATAAGGATCGCACAAGCGAGCAGTAAAGTGACCTGAGGCATAGCAGGTCACGAAACTCGTCGGCAATTTTTAAAATAAAGCCCAATTCTAGATAGAGCTGGAATTAGGGCCTAACAGCTTTTGTAAACAATGGCTTCTATCGATGATTTCTAGAAATTCAAGGCTCGCCCACGCAAACCAACATTCTAATCGGGTAGGGAAAGACTTCCCCTATCCGATGGTTATATTCGTCTGCGTGGGCGTGCCTTGAGTTCCTAGAAATCATCGATAGAAGTCATTGTTTACTAAAGCTGTTACGGCCTAATTCCAGCTTTATCTAGAATTATCGATTAGCTCTGGAGATGATGTCATTGTAGTGGATTCTGAAAGTGAGTCTGCAGTCCAAGGTAACGCCGAGATCCTTTATGTGCTCTACACGAGCAAGACAGTGTCCGTAGAGAACATAGTCGAGCAAAAATACCTAACATATTCTGGAGATCCCAGCAGTCCGAGAGATTTTCGTATCGTCTGCATAGAAAACGGGGCATCCTTCCTCAGTGCCTGTTTTAGGGTGTCCCGGATCCGAGGAAGAGCAGGTGGCGGCATAAACCTGCTGGCAGTTGGCAGGACGGATGCATGGACATGATGTGGCTAGTGTGGAGGTCGCAGAACCGGAAACACTGCTAGAAGTTAGCTGGTTGGAAGACCCCCGACCTACATCTACACTCAGGGCCGAGACGACTATGCAGAGTGCTGGCTGGAATAAGCGCGACTGAGGCAGAGACATCAGGGGCTTCCACAGTGCTATCCACGATGCGTCTCGGTGGTGATGGTGGTGGTCCAGAAGCAGTAGAGGTAGCAGAATTATTCTTGGGAATCGTGGAAACATCTACAGTGTGTTCCGGATGAGCAGATGGACCACTCGGGGATAACGAAGACGCATCGTTTAGCCTCGAAGGGTTTGGGAGTACCTGCTCAACATTGTTCCATGAATCGTTCTCGATGGTCATTGCCTCCAACCCGCTACGGACAGCTACAAGGAATCCTCCACCAGTAGATTTACTGGAAATCACAGATACATCAGGCAATAACTGACCATCATGAAATATTTGTAGAGAAGTGGTATTAGCGTTTATTGGCTACTGTTTTTCAGTGCGACTGACACATTGAATAATGGTTGAGAAAAAGTCGAGTAAACACTCTCCAAAACTAATTTCAAGAGCTTCTGCTTGTGGCTGTATATGCAGCTTTTTTCAGCTACTTTACAGCACAATGCTGGACAAGTTGGCTTATAAAGCTGAAAATGTTAGTTGCGTAAGGTACTATTCTAATTTTCCATTATTCTCAACAAAAATATTCTTGAACACCAGCAGGATCCTTGCAAAACCGATACAGAATTAAATTGTTCAGCTATTGATCTAGTTCTGGAGGATCTCCGATGAATCAATTTAACAGGAAAAATGAAAAAGTGTCCCACTTCCTATGTCTCACAGCAGAAATTTCTGCTCACAACGCTCTTTTTGACGTTGTCCTCTTCGTCACCAGAGGTGGAATCGTTCACTTAGTTTCTATTAATAAGGCGTACATCAAGATTTAAATTTTTGATTTTTGACATTAATTCTATTAGTTGACAGATGCAAAGCCCCACCGAGGGGTGCTAAGATGGTGATTTTAGCTAATTTAAAGACTGGAACGCGCAAAAATTGGTCGACAAGACTTTAGTGTATAGCATACTGTTCTTGGTTTGTTGATTCTATCGGCGGAAAACTCGTGATCGGGATTCACTCAAGCAACAATTTTGGTTTTATGAGGGTTCTCTAGAATGCTTTACAACCACGTTTAAACTTACAATGTTTCTCCAAAACAACCAATCGGAAATTTTAGCCAGATTCAATCGACTGAACTAACGTTGCTAATCATCTGTAAATAATTAACATTAGACTATTTGCATTATCCATGATCCGGTAAATTGACTAATTCTAGCTACTTAGAAGTAAAGTCACTTTGCATCAGCATCGGAGTGGCATGATATTACTCAGACCAAGCCATGCTCCTCTAGGCGAACACTCGGATGGATCTTTGCAGACCTGTTTTCTCACACTAATTATTATTATTATTATTATTTTCATTGGCAAACCCACAGAGCTGCACCCACCAATAAATTACAATAAATTAATTAATTTTGCGCCATTAATTGAAACCTCGTCGTTGTCGTCGTCGTCTTTGCCGTTGCTCTTTGGTGGTCGATGTGTTCATTGAATTTCCCTTCTCGCATGAATGGAAAGAAGGGATGTATTTTTCGGATGATTGCAACAGTTGTGTGAAGAAGTTTTTCATCGCCAGCTCACTGACAGGCCGTCAATTCATAAGGAGCTGTGACAACTGTATTGAGTAGGGTGTTGTTTTTTTTTCTGATTAAAATACTGTGATCAGTGATTGGATGTGCGTACGTGTGGGCAGTTACTTTCAATAAGTTATTATTATCTTCAAGGATTTAAAGCGGCTGAATATCAGTTCCTAGTGGTTGTGAAAAAGAGTGTTCAGTGTGAATTCAAAAGTGTCTTTCTATTGGTGATACCTTGCAAACGAACTTAACTCTGTTCCATACGAAAGATAGTCGGAGCTATGCAGAGTCAAAATAAGGTAAGCATCATTAGGTTTTATCGATTAAATTCTTACTTTTTTTTTATAAAAAAAAAAATTACTTGCCAAGGCTCAATTGCAATAGCTTTGCGATGCCGTTTATCAAATTTGAGCAAAATTATTGACAGTCAGTGCTGCGTTCCTAAAATTTGAGCTCAGTAGTCGCACCCAATTGACCTGCGCCCTATAAAATATAAAGATGCCTTAAATAACGGTATGCCCGCCCCTGACGTTGATGAAGATGTTTCAAATAGTGTATTATCTACTAGATATCTAGTTGATGTGTAATGTTGCAAAACATTTGCACTTTATCGATGCTGCACGATGAGCAGCACCGTACTCTACAGGTGGTGAAGGGGCACATAACAAAACCGCGAGGGGCGGAAAATTACTCTAATGTTCCTTGAACAAAGTCCCTTTATCCTTACTTCTTGATAGCGTGGGCTCTGAGTAGGGTAAGTGGTTCATCCGATGGACCAGACGACGTAGACTATCCTCTTCTCAAAAATCTTCCGCATAATCGGTAAAACTATCCTTTTGTCTATGTTCAACCAAATATGGGACCAGGGAGAAATTCCCACGTGACTGGAAAGAAGTTCTAGTTGTTCCCATCCCCAAACCCGGAAAAGACAGGAATAATGCAGACAGCTACCGGCCTATCACTCTATTGAACTGTATTGGGAAGGTTTTTGAGAAGATGGTAAATAGACGACTCATCACTCAAATGGAGTCCTAAGGCTTAGTCGACAATCGCCAGTTTGCTTTCCGTCCAGAAAAGTCCGCGGATGATTACCTTACGGAGCTAGAGGATCTCATTGATGGATACCTTGAAAGAGGTATGCATGGTGACTGTGTTTCTCTGGATCTGTCGAAGGCTTACGATCGTGCATGGCGTTTTCCCATCCTAAAGTCGCTCGAAGAATATGGAATCAAGGGCCGCATGGGTCACTACGTTCAAAGTTTTCTGGACGATAGGAGATTCAGAGTCATCATAGGAAACAACCGATCTGAGGTCAGGTCTCAAGAGAACTGAGCTGGCATTCGAAGTTAATAACACTCTGACTTGCGATTGTAGAATAATGTATATTTCAGTTTCAGTTAGTTTTATTAATTAACCAATTGCGCAGATAGAATTCAATATTGTTTATGCTGAATCTTTCCCAAGTCCTATGTTGATATGTTGCTTCCTGTTGTTTACGAATTGACCCGATACCATGTGGCAAAAGTCACACGCAATCGATTATGCTTATTGCAAGTATGCTTAGCTATGCAAACAATCATTTCATTCATTGCGCCGTCTGCGTGCGTTGTTGATCGTCTTGCGCTTGACCTAGTAAACATGTTTATTGCATTTGGGATTTCTTAGGAATGTTTATTTGAGACCCAGTGGAAATACTTGGTATACATTAATGTCATTTTGATTTACAAGTTTGTTTTTCGTTTATGTTGCGCATCGACACTTTTAACGGAAATGATTGCGTCTTAATCAAACTGTTTTTCAATTGGTTTGCGTATCCACCACAGAACGGTATCCCCCAAGGTTCAGTAATCGCACCCACACTCTTTCTCAGCTGTATGCAATCCCTTTTTGATACTATTCCCCCCAATGTTCATATACTGGTTTATGCAGACGACATTACCATCATCACTTTCAATATTTTCAAATCGTTAGCCAGAAAATGGATTCAATCCGCAGTCAATATTGTTGCCAAATGGGCTGATGAAAAAGGTTTCATCATATCCCCTGAAAAATCACAACTCCTCCATATTAGTAGCAATAGGAAAAAGCTTAGCAAACTACCCCAACTAAACTTAAACCAGACCACAATAGAAGCAGGACAGACTCTGAAAATCCTTGGAGTTTACCTTAACCGGACTCTCAGCTTTAGACACCACGCAGACGTTGTTCGGAAAATCACCGAGCGGCGGCTACAGGTCATTAGGACGATTGGGACAAGAATTCCATGTGCACATCCCGAGCAGGAGAAAATAACTAATGAATACCGAATTCTGATCTGATACCAAAATTTGGTATTGACCAGCATGACATAAGAGGTAAAATACCAAAGAATAATACCAAAAAATTACATGCAAAATACTTTGTAAATACCAAAAATTGATTTTTGGATACCAAAAGAATACCTGGGTGGTATTGTTTTGGTATTGCATTAACATAATTTGGTATTGGAATGGTATTGTGGGAACTTTTTTTTGTATTATTTTTTGGTATTTTACCTCTTATGTCAGGCTCATCCATACCAATTTAAGATATCGAGATATTCGTTCCTGCTCGGGATAGAACATCCATCATGCAAATAGTTAACGGCTGGCTTCTGCCCAAAATCTTCTACGGTGCAGGTTTTTTCAGCAGAGGTGGCGATATCATAACCAAAAAGCTACGTTCGTTGTACAACAAGGCTTTCCAATCAGCTTCCGGAGTTTTCATCACTAGTCCCATATCCGCTATAATAGCCGAGTGTGGTCAGCTCCCCTTCGAACATTATATAACAGTCTGCGTGGTGACTAAGGCTATTCGATGGTTAAGTCTGAACAAGTTTAACAAGAGCAAACGATCTGTTCAACTCCCTTACCAAACTAAATCTCCCTTCAATTGCAGTGTTACCCAAAACCAAAAACAGACCTTGGAACCAACCACCTCCTAAGATAGATCTTTCTTTCTTCTTCGAAAAGTTAAAGCAGGTGATCCCCCGTTAAAAATACAACAACAATTTAACAATCTCCGTTCAGAAAAATACAATAACTACTTCCACATCTTGAGTGTTCACTCGGCTGTCGACAAAAGCAGGCCACTCTCGATGTGTGCTACGCGATCGTCTGTTTTCTCTGCAGCAACCATTGTGTGGTCCTCCTCATTGTTCTTCATCAGCAGTTCTTTCGGTCGATGCGTCGTCGACTTTGGAAAGCAACCGTTTCGTGATGAGTGTGTGAGTGCTGACCACGTTTTGCGTCCATTGCTGCAATGGACGCGCTCTGACCCTCGTTGGCGTACAACAATTTGCCATACAATGAAACTGCTAGAAGCGGCTCCAGTTCTGATCGAGGAGGCTTTTTGGATAGCGGAAGATAAAGTGTTTATTGTGTTGTACCTTTTGACTATAGTTTTAAGATGTATTGTATAGTGACCAAGAATCCTCGGCTCTGTAAAGTTAATTCGGTTGAGCCTTATCAAATAAATTAATAAACAAATACTTCCACATCTACACCGACGGTTCCGTTTCTAATGGAAAGTTCGGCTATGGTATCACTAGCGCATTAACCAGTATTAGTTCCTCCCTCCCTATATCTTGTTCCATCTTCAGTGCCGAAGCTTATGCCCTCATGAAAGCTTCCAACTTGAACCCTCCACAGTCTGAGAATCCAACTGTCATCTTTAGCGATTCAGCAAGCTGTCTCCGCGAAATGGAATCCAGTTCCATGAAACATCCTTGGCTCATGTCCGCAGAAACATCCTCCATAGCTAATCACGTCTCCTTCTGTTGGGTCCCAGGTCACTTTGGTATCCGAGGCAATGAGGAGGCGAACCGATTGGCTGGTGCTGGTCAAGAAGAATCAAACAGTCTACATCTCGTTGGCCAGATAATAAAAACCCCAAAGACCGCCGTATTCTTTCCAGACTTAGAATTGGTGCTACCCGTCTTACCCATAGCTACCGAATTACTAAAGAGGAACCTCCAAACTGCATCACATGCGGTGTCCCACTGTTCATCCCCCACCTTTTGTTAGATTCTAGAGCCTACAGTACCGAACGTTTGACTTATCATCTAAGATACAACCATAGCGGAAGTTTTATCACCACCCACTGAACAGAAGCTGCTGGAGTTCTTGAAAGCAACCGGATTGTATGACCAAATTTAATTGAAGCAAACGAATGACCGTTTACGGTTAAAGTCCCGTTAAAACAAAGACACACACACACTTACTTCTTGAAATTATTCTTAATTTTTTTAAAGTTTCGTAAACATTCCCAAGCATCATCCTTTTTTTCTTATAAATCTCATATCATACTTGCCTTTCTCTAAATTTCTGGAAAAACATTGAAATATTTCTAGAAATTTTCCTACACATTCGTGGGTAAAACCTCGGGTAAAACAAAGTTTCCAAAATTATTAGTAAGTTACCAAATCAAACCCTTAAGTTTTTAATAAGTATGATGAGCTTCAACAAACCTGAGCGGAGTTTTTATTAAATTCCCAGAACTTTTACCAAAATCACAATTTTGGCGAAACTTCTATGGAATCCCCTCAATTAATTAGTGACAGTATTGGTCATTAAGACCTACTAAGAATAGCGCTACTGACCACCTGTTCCGATGGTGGGTGTCCATTGCACAGGTGTGTGTGGTGTGTGGATACAATCCGCTTGTATGGAAGAAACCTGCCCCGTAACGTGGGTAGATCACCTTTTCGTGGTACGTTACGGGATGTAAGATCTACCACCGATTCCTAGTCCTGACTACTGTTTGAACTATGGCTCGGGATTTCCATTGTGGCGTGCTTCTATTGTGACATGTCCATACGTAATTTTGTGGAACGATGTAGTGGAAACGTGTGAGGGTAGTAGTAGTAGTAGTAAAATTTCGTTTATTTCTGTTGATTATGATGTATACATTAATTTTAAATTTCAATTGATTAGCCTATCTGGCTCTTCATCTTTGTTCATTGGATATTCTAATTTAGTATTTGCGTATTTCATCTAGTTATCATAATACCCCTTGGGGGTGTGTTTTGTTCTAATTGAAAATTTGTATATCCTATCTAACTACAATTCTAGCTTAACTAACGTGACAGATCACGTATGATCTGAAGATCTGGTCTCAGACAGGTGTATCTGAACCTTTCCAAGGAAACCGTTCGTCGCTCTTCGAGAGGCTGAAGGCCAGCCAGGCGGTGGCCCTCAGAATTTCGGGTCCGTGGAGGACTGTTTAGGATCATTCTAACGATCTTGTTCTGGTTCCTTTGGGGTTTGAGGTGATTGCACAT